GTATGTGGGATCCGAACCCTCGGGCGGGAGCGCCGCTGTGCTTCCCAAGCGGCGCACTATCCAGTGCGCCACCGGGCCGGCCCAGGAGTTCCACTTTTAACTAAATTTGTATGCTATTTGCACTTTTGTAAGAGTGATGTGTTCATGTATAACATGTGTAATTAAAAATTGTGTATATGGGGCTGGCTGGTTAGAGTTGGGGCCAGTTGGTTAGAGCTCAGTGTAGGTAACAACCAAGGTCAAGAGTTTAGATCCTCAAGGGTTTGGATCCCTGTATTGGCCAGCACCAAAAACAAAATAAAACAAAACAAAATTTGGTCACTTTTGATAAAGAAAAAAAGTTATCCAAAATTGTGCATAAATGTGCTTATCTATTTAATTTACAAATTTGTATAAAAATTAGGTATTTTAGAAACACAACAGCTTCCCCACACCCTAATCCCCCAGTATACTCATTTCATACATGGGAAAGCAGTCAGAGAAAAATGACTTGCCAATGCCACACAAGCAGCCAGGAATGTAGAGATGGAGCTGATATTCACAGAGAAGTTAGAACAGTCATCCTCGGGTGGGAGCATTGGGGTTGAAACACAGTCATCATTCTCAAGGGGCTTACAAGCCTCACTGATGAGACAAACCCACAAGATTTCAATACTAGGTGGTCTATTATGGTAAGAACCAAATTCATAAGTGTTAACAGTTCTTGAGGGCTAATATGAGCCAGGCAGATATTTAAGAACTTTTTGTGCAATAATTAACTTTGTTCTCCACTGACCCTGTGACATATTATCCCTATCTTACACGTGGAGAAACTGAAGTATAGATGGGTTAAGTAACTTGTGGGTAGGAAGTATTGGAGGCTGAACTAAATCAGTCTCACTTCAAACCTTCCTGCACTTCCCTCCCCTTGCCTTTTTTTTTTTTTTAAAGGAATGGGTTCTTGGGGAAAATTTACAAGCCAAAAGTCATTAGAGAAGAAAAGGCACAGTCTCCATATTCCATGCAGTGGCATGCCAGGCACAGAGCAATGCGAATCTTTATTCTAGGGGAGGAGATTCCTTCCCTTGCCCTCTCTTCTTGTAGGTCAAGCACAAGAGTAAGCTTATCAGTGAAGAGATAAACATGCTTCTTGGTTGCCAGGCAGGCTGGAGGTGAATTTCAGCCTTTTTTATTATTACAGAAAATTTCAAACATACAAGGTGCTGTGGAGAATGTCCCCTGAAAACTCATCGAAGCCTGACCCTCATGGTAACAGTGTTAAGAGGGTGGAAATCCAATTATGGAATTTGGAAGGTGGAGCCTTTAAGAGGTGATTAGATTGTGAGGACTGTGCCCTAGTGAAGAGATTGATACATTCAAGGAGCAATGTACCTAGTTTTGATGGCTTTAAAAGGAGATCAAGTAAGGTTAGCTCTCTTGCTCAGCACATTTCTCACCATGTGACACCGTAGTTGCCAAGGGAGCCTGTAGAGAGTTCCTTCCCAGAAGAAGGCCCTCACCAGATACACCCCCTGGACTGTGGACTCCCCAGCCTCTAAAATGGTAAGAAATAAATTTCATTTCTTTATAAAGTACCCAGTTTCAGGCATTCTGTTGTAAGCAACAGAAAAGGCCTAATACACAAGGATACATCAAAAAGTTCATGGAAAGATTTATATTATCTTTTGATTCTTTTTCCATGAACTTTTTGAAGTACCCTCATATGTGGCTTTTTTGTGTCTGGCTACTCAGCATAATGTTTTCAAGGTCCATGCATGTTGTAGAATGTGTTGGTAATTCATTCCTTTCTATGGCTGAATAATATTTCACTGTATGGATACACCACCTTCTGTTTATACATTCATCCACTGATGGACATTTGGGTTGTTAAAATTTGTGTACAAGTTTTTGTGTGGACATGTTTTCATTTCTCTTGGTTATGTATGTAGTGGTATTTCTGGGTCAAATGGTAACTCTATGTTTAACTTTTGATAAACTGACAAACTTCCACAGTGACTGAACTATTCTGACCAGCAATATCTGAGAATTCCAACTTCTCCACATTCTCACCAATATTTGATATTTTCCTTTTTAAGAAATTATAACCATCATACTGGGTGTAAAGTGGTATCTCACTGTGGTTTTCATTTGCATTTCCCTGATGACTAATGATGTTGAGCATATTTTTATGTGTTTATTGGTCACTTGTATGCCTTTGGAGAAATGTCCATTCTGATCTTCTGCCTATTTTTCAATTGCAGTTTTTTATTGTTGAGTTGTAAGAGTTCTTTATATTTTTGATACTAGACCCTTATCAGACATAATTTGCAAATATTTTCTCCTATTCTGCGGGTTGTCTTTTCACTTACTTGCAAGTGTCCTTTGAAACACAACATTCTCCTATCTGATCTCTCCAATAACCAAGTCAGAACATTGTGCAACCTTAGATATGAGAAAACAGCCTTGGAGAGGGTGAGTGAGTTGTCTAAAATCATGCAGAAACCCAAAAGGTTGAGTAAGAATTTGAACCTAGAGGAGAGAATCCTGGAAAAAGGGAGATGAACATCCTGGGTCACAGTCACAGCCTTGCTCCTTGTACTTGTGTGAACTTGCATAAATGATGTCTCTCTTGGGGTCTCGATTTTATCATTGGTAGGTAAGGGAGTTGTAGTTGAGTAATTACAATGATAATAATTTACTGAGCATCTACCATATTCCAGATTCTGTGCCAGGCACTTTAAGTATAACACTTCTAATTCTTTCAATAACCTCACAAAGCAGGTATGATCTTCATTTCCCAGAAGAGGAAATGGAGACTCTGAAGCCAGTAACAGAGGACACTCAGCTTGTAAGTGTCAAGACTGGGCCAGAAACCCATGCTCTTTCCTCTCAGCCACTCTACTTCTCCAAGTCACTTCTCCTTGAGCCTGTTTCCTCTTCCTTAAAAGTTAATAAACATTCCTTTCTCATAGCATTGCTGTGAACCTGTGGGCAGGGCCATTAACTGATTCATTGAATCTTTATTGAGCAGCAACAAGATGCCAAACCCTGTTCCAGGTGAGCATTGATGGATTTTGGATGTGACCGGCGCCATCGTGCACACAATAAGCACAAAAGAGCCGCAGGCCTCGTCTTCCACTCCAGCACCGAGCCCCTCCCCCCTTCTCTTTACAGAATACTCCTGACTTAAACAGAAACCCCTTTTGCTTCTGCAAGGACACAGTTCTCCACCCCGATCCACATTAGCATAATGACCCTCCTTGATGGTATCAGCCAGCCCTTGGCGCACCATATAAGCTCTACCACCCCCACACCTGGTGCTGTCCACCATTTTCAGGGCAGCCCCAAGCTCCTGCCACTTTGAGCACAGCCTGGCAGATTCTTTTCCTTTAATAAAGCTTGAAAGGTACCCTCGGCTCACTTTCTTCCAAGGATAGAATAGAAAATAAGACAAACCCCTGTTCTCACAGAGCTTACACTCCAGTGGTGGGAAGGAAAACAGAACAAAGAAACAAAGAAACAAACCCACCCCCACCCCCACCCCCACAGAACCATCCAGGTAATATCACATAGTGATGAGTGCTATGAAGAAATACCGTGATGAGGGTGGAGTGAGAGCGGTCAGGGAAGCCCTTTGAAGAGGTAACATTTGTCTGAAACCTGAATGATCCGAAGGAGGCTATTGCAGGAAAATTTGGGGGTAGGCTGTCCAGAAGGAGGACAAAGCAAAGGCTTCGAGGGAGAAATCAGCTTGTAAGAGATTAAATGAGATAACGTAAGTGAAAGGCAAGTAAAAATTAAGGGATTAATTCAGTGCAACGAGTTTTTACTGTATGCCCACGAGGTGCCAGCAACTATATTGGACAGTGAGTTCTGAGACTATAAATACAATCCCGGTCCTCAAGACGCTCACCATCTAGGAGAAGACAACAGACAGCATATAGTTTCTCAGCTGATGAAATGGCGCATCTAACCAAGAGGTGAAAAATTAATTCTTATTCATGTTTTTGCCAATGGGCCCAGCAGGGGTAGAGACATAAAGCAGGGGATGACAGAGCACGGAATTGCCCAGATTAGGGCGCCAGGTTACTTTTTCCTTCGCAGCCACCAAGCCTCTATGGCGTCGACCCCTCCTCCGGGCGCCAGGGTGCGCTAAACCATCACTCAGTGCCGGCTGAACGGCGCCGCGCTCTCCACTACTTCCCTTTTTGCTGCGCCTCACTTCCGGTGGGTAGCGGAAGCGGGAGCCTGCAGCTGCGGGCGCCGGGGTCCCGGGCATGGCGGGGGCGGGGCCTAGGGAGGCGCGCAAGGAGCAGGCTGGGGCGTCCCTCGCGCCAGCCCTTTGAACCTGGATTCGACAGGTGAGGACTTCTCCTTTTTGGCGCAGCTCCAAGCCCCTCAGACCCTCCCCGGGAGGCTCCTCCCCGCATGACGCCGAGGCCCCCGCCCTCCCTCGGAATTCTCTTCCCATTCAGGCCCCTCCCCGAGCTCTTCTTTCCGGGGGCGCCCCCTTGGGCAAGTGTGCCCGCCCCTTCGCATCCTCTTTTCGTTCTGGAAGCCGTCACAAGGAATTGAGGGATATGTGCACCTTACCCCGTGGGAAAACTGAGACCCAGCAAGGGGAAGGGACTTGCTTAGTCCCACACAGTGAGTTAGTGGCCCGATTCACCCAGGCCTCCTTCTTTCGTTCCGTACCGTACCAGACGCCTACCATGTGCCAGCCCCAGTGCTAGGCTCTGAAAATACCGAGGTCACCAAAGTAGACGTGGTTACTTCCTGTTTGGGGAGCAAAGTTTAGCGGGCGAGTTAGACATTAAACACATAATCACGCAAATAAAAGTATAAATACAAATTGTGGCAATTCCTATGAAGACGACAAAAAATTATGGGGAGTCCTGTTTTAGATAAGGTGGTCAAGGAATACTTCCTGAAGGAGGTGACACTTAAGCTGCAACTTAAGTTATGGCAAGGGCCAGGGGAAATACATCCCAGGCAGAGGGAATAGCCCCTGTGGACGTCCGAGTTAGCACAGAACTTGGCATGAGGTGGGTCCAGTGTTCAAGAAGGGAGGCTTACCATGTGTCAAGCACTGTGATGAGCATAGAGAATATATAGTATCTGTGTATCGGTCCTTGGGAACTCACCATCTATAGTGAAAGTGTAGACATAAATAAAATACAAAGGCAAAGTTGCAAGCGTAGTAAGTACAATGAAGGATGGGTATGGTTAATATATTAGGATTTTGAGAAGACTTCCCTGAGGAAGTGATGGTTTTTTTTGTTTGTTTTGTTTTTTTTAAATAAAAAGATGACCGGTAAGGGGATCGTAACCCTTAACTTGGTGTTGTCAGCACCACGCTTTCCCAAGTGAGCTAACTGGCTGTCCCTATATAGGGATCGGAACCCTTGACTTGGTGTTATGAGCACCACACTCTCCCAAGTGAGCCATGGACTGGCCCTTAAGCTGATATCTGAAGTAATTAATTCAGCAAAGTGAGATGTACTTAACTTCTGTAAAGGGCCAGATAGTAAATATTTTAGACTCATGGGCTGTGTGTTCTTTGTCTCAACTACTCAACTCTGCCTTTGTAAAGTAAAAGCAGCCATAGCCTATAAGTATAGCTGTGTTCCAGAGAAATTTATTTACAAAAACAGGGAGGGGGGTTAGATTTTTCCTGAGGGCAGTAGTTTGCAGACTCTTGCTCTAGGTTAGATTAGTATATATTTTATATCCTTACCCAGTGCATATAATTCACATATATAATTGGAACAAAAGTTGTACAAAACAGTGCTTACCCTTACTGTATGTGATACAGTTTGGTATTTTCTATTTTATTGTATTTCATTTTTTAAAATGTAAGAATACCCATTAAATTGATTTCAAGGCCTCAATGAGTTGTGACTAGCAGTTTGAGAAATTTGATTTGCTAGTTATAGAGGTATTACATTTTTAACTTGACTAGATATTATACACTTATATAAGGCATTTGACATCCCTTTTAGAAGGAGACAGAATATAAATAAATAACTCATTATGTGTATGTTTTTATTTCTAAAATACAGACCGGATCCAGTCACTCCCCTGCTTTCCAATCTGGCTCCCCTCTACTTTTCAAGCCTTCTATCACTCACTCTGTGCTTTCCGTGCCTAACTACTTGGATTTATTGTTTCGCAAATGTGCCATGCCATGCTCTTTTCAAGTGTGTTTTTAAGGCTGCCCTTTTTCTGGAATGTTTCTCTTTTACTTTGCCTACAGAATTTTTTTATCCTTCAAGGCCCAATGCAAATGCTGCTCTATTCATTTAACATGTTTATGAGGTTTTACTGGTCCTTAGGCACTGTCCTAGGTGTTGGAGATACAGCAAGGAATTACACAAGGTCTCTGCTTTCTAGTATGGGGGACAGATACTAAGAAGGTAAACAGATAACTAATTTCAGAAAGTGATAAAGGCTGCGAGGAAAATAAAACAGGGTGAAATGGTAGATTCATGTGGATGGAAAAGGCACTATAGGTGAGATGGTCAAGGAAAACTTCTGAAGAGTTGCTGTTTTAGTTGAGACTTGAATGACAAAACAGAGGCAGCTCTTTCATCACTTAAAAAAATTTGTTCCACTTGCTTCTGGCCTCCATGGTTTCTGATGAGAAATCCACAGATATTTGAATTGTTGCATTATAGGTAATGCGTTGTTTTTTATTTGGTTGCTTTCAAGATTTTTATTTTGTCTTTCAGTTTTTCCCAGTTTGACTGTGATATTTCTGGGCATGGATTTCTTTGGGTTTATCATATTTGGGGTTCTCTGAACTTCTTGAAACTGTGGTTTGTGTCTTTAGCCAAATTTGGGAAATTTAAAGCCATTATTTTTTCAAAAATTTTTTTTAGCACTAACTCTTTCTTCTCTCCCTTTGGGAGTCTTATGAGAGGGTGTTAGACCTTTTGTTATTTTCTTTAGGTCCCTGAGTCTCTATTCAATTTTTTCAGTCTTTTTTTTTTTCTCTTTTGTTTAGATTGGATAATCTCCTCTGATCTGTCTTCTAGGCAATTGTCTCTGTCCTCTGTTGACTCTTTTTTTTCTGCTTTTGAGTCCATCCAGTGAGTTTTTTATTCTGATTATTGCTTTTCAGCTGTAAACTTTCTATCTGGTTCTCTTAAAAATACCTTCTATTTCTTTGCTGTGACTTTCTGTTTTTCCATTCATTTCAAGCGTGTGATTGTTTATTGGAGTTTATTATAATAGCTACTTTAAAATATTTGTCAGAGAATTCCAATTTCTGTGGCATCTCAACATTGGTGTCAGTTGATTATGTTTTCTCAATTGAGATTTTCCCTACTACTTCATTTGCTGAGTAATTTTGGATTGTTTCCTGGACATTTTGAATATTATGTTGAGGGACTATTGGTCTTGTTTAAATCCTGTAGGGAATGTTGCTATTTCTGTGTTTGTAGGCAATCTACCTAATTAGCTTCAGGTGCAATTTGCAATCCTACTATATAGGCTACGGTTCCAACATCAGATCAGTTTTCAAAGTCTTTGCAAGTGCTATTTGGATCTGTCCCATGTATGTGACACTCAGTGGCTAGTCTGAGACCTAGGTGGTGGTTTCTTTGTTAGTTTGGTTCTTAAAGCCTTTAGTATGATGATCTGGAACATATCCACATGTTTGCAGCTTGGAGGCAAGCTTGGGAGTTCATAAACAACCTCATGGTATCACTTTTCTGAGCTTTTCCCTCTCTGTGATCTCACCAGTACCTTTTGGATCCTTGGGGCTCTCCTTTTTGATCTCCCAGTGAAAAAGCTTGTGCTTTAGTTACTTGTCCCTGCCGGGCACTTACTCTGCAAACAGTAGGAGGACCAGAAGAGATAGTGGCAACATCATTGTCTGTTCAGTGGTACTTTCTGGTTAGCCTACGATTGTCCTCAAATACCTGTCCATGCATTCTGTTTAGGTTTTATAGCTGCATTCAGTGGGAGAGAGAAGGTGGAGTTGGCTTACTCTTGCTTACCTGGCAACAACTTCGTAGCTTAGTTTTTCATTAAATGCCATTGACTTCTATCGCCTGTGGCTTAACTTTGATTTGAATCAAGGTAGAATAAAACATTTGGAAACACTAACGTATATGTTGTATAATAGATGCCCCATAAATATTTTTAAAAATATTTTTATTATGATAAAAAATAGCATAAAATTTACTCTTTTAACCATTTTTAAGCATAGAGTTCAGTAGTATTAAGTGTATTCACATTATTGTGAAACCGATCTCCAGGACTTTTTTTGTCTTGCAAACAAAAATGTTTAACCCATTAAACAGCAGCTTTCCTTTTCTTCTTCCCCCAGTCCCTGATAACTGCCATTCTGCTTTCTATTTCTGTAAATTTGACTACTTTAGATAGTGGAATCTAAATACAGTGTTTGTCTTTTTGTGATTGGCTTATTTGACTTAATATAAGGTCTTCAAGGTTTATCCATGTTGTAACATATGTCAGAATTTCCTTCCTTTTTAAGGCTGAATAGTATTTCATATGTGTGTATACCCGATTTTATCCATTCATCCGTCAGTGGACATTTGGGTTGCTTCCATCTCTTGACTACTTTGAGTGAACTACTGCTATGAATGTATGTACAAATATCTCTTTGCGATCCTGCTTTCATTTATTTTGGGTTTATACCCAGAAGTGGAGTTGCTGGATTATATGGTAGTTCTAATTTTAATTTCTGAAGGAACCTCCATACTGTTTGCCATTGCACGTGCACTGTTTTGCAATCCCACCAACAGTGCACAAGGGCTCCATATTCTCTACATCCTCAACATTTGTTATTTTCTGTTTTTATTTATTTATTTATTTATATATATAAAGTCATCCTAATGGGTGAGAGGTTATATCTAACTGTAGTTTTGATTTTTGGATTTTCATTTCTTTGGTGATTAGTGATGTTGAGTATCTTTTCATATGCTTGTTGGCCATTTGTATATCTTCTTTGGAGAAATGTCTATTCAAGTACTTTGTCCCTTTTTTTTTTTTTGTCTTTTTCCGTGTCCGGCCATGGATCGCAACCCTCAGTGTTGCCCCCGTCCCGGACCAGGGACCGGCAACGGGATCGCAACCCTCGGTGTTGCTCCCGTGCCTCGCTCAGCCAGTGAGCGGGAACCGGTCTGTATGTGGGATCCGAACCCTCGGGCGGCCGCGCCGCCGCGCTTCCCAAGCGGCGCACTATCCAGTGCGCCACCGGGCCGGCCCACTTTGTCCCTTTTTTTTTTTTTGTCTTTTTCCGTGTCCGGCCATGGATCGCAACCCTCAGTGTTGCCCCCGTCCCGGACCAGGGACCGGCAACGGGATCGCAACCCTCGGTGTTGCTCCCGTGCCTCGCTCAGCCAGTGAGCGGGAACCGGTCTGTATGTGGGATCCGACCCCTCGGGCGGGAGCGCCGCCGCGCTTCCCAAGCGGCGCACTATCCAGTGCGCCACTGGGCCGGCCCACTTTGTCCCTTTTTAAATTGCTTTTTATGATTTTATGTTGTTGAGTTGTAGGAGTTATGGATATTAACACCTTATCAGATATATAATTTGCAAATATTTTCTCCCATTCTATAGGTTGTCTTTTAACTCTGTTGATAATGTCCTTTGATGTACAGAAGTTTTAAAGTTTGTTGTATTCCTATTTGTTTTTGTTGCCTGTGCTTTTGTTGTTCTATCCAAGCAATCATTGCCAAGTCCGATATCATGTTCTTGTATTCAGGTCTTTAATCCATTATGAGTTAAATTTTCTATACAGTGTGAGATAAAGATCCATTTTTTTTCCTTCATTTTTTTCCATGTGGATATCCAGCTTTCCCAGGAGCACTAGTTGAAGAGACCATTCTTTCCCTATTGAGTGGTCTTGGCACCCTTGTCAAAGATCATTTGACCGCATATGCGAGGGTTTATTTCTGGGCTCTCTATTATATTCCATTGGTGTATGTCTGTCTTTATGCCAGTACCAAACTTTTTTGTTTACAGTGGCCTTTTAATATGTTTTGAAATCAGGAAGTGTGAGTCCTCCAACTTTGTTCTTTTTCAAATTTGTTTTGGCTATTGGGTTCCCTCGAGATTCCATATGAATTTTAGGATGAATTTTTCTAATTTTGCAAAAAGTGTTATTGGGATTTTGATAGGAGTTGCACTGAATCTGTAGATTGCTTTGAGTCATAAGGACATCTTAACAGCCCAATAAATATTTTTTGTTTGAATGACTGCACATTGAATGTGATTCTTGTACTGTTTAAATTTAATGCAGTTGTAGGTGTATTCTGTTGAACATTCCCAGTAACTGAGCATACTTGGAAGGTATTCCTAGGTTCTTCCCTCAAACCTGTTTCTAGAATCAGAAATGTCAGGACCACTTCCTTACTACAATCTAGGAAGGAGAAATGCCAGTCACTATCATTTTAGGAGTTCCTCCTGGTTTCAGAATGTAAAAAGAGATATCTGTTTGACTTGTATATATTTATGTTTTGGTAAACTTTGTTTTATTTTCTTGACTTCTACTTTACTTTTTCATGCAGAAATGTGATAATGGATCATCATGTTTCCACCATCAAACCTCGAAGAATCCAAAACCAAAATGTCATTCACCGCTTGGAACGCCGGCGGATCAGTTCAGGCAAGGCAGGTACCCACTGGCACCAGGTCCGAGTTTTCCACCAGAATGTCTTCCCCAACTTCACAGTTGTCAATGTTGAAAAGCCTCCTTGTTTCTTGCGTAAATTTTCACCTGATGGACGCTACTTTATTGCTTTTTCTTCAGACCAGACATCTCTTGAAATCTATGAGTATCAGGGCTGCCAGGCAGCAGAGGACCTACTGCAGGGATATGAGGGGGAGATCCTGTCCAATGGCAATGACCAGCGGTCAGTCAACATCCGGGGCCGGCTCTTTGAACGCTTTTTTGTTCTGCTACACATTACCAATGTAGCGGCTAACGGCGAGCACCTGAACAGGGAATGTAGCCTCTTCACTGATGACTGCCGGTGTGTCATTGTCGGCTCAGCTGCATACCTCCCAGATGAGCCTCACCCTCCTTTTTATGAGGTATACCGGAACAGTGAATCAGTGACTCCCAACCCACGGTCCCCTCTAGAGGACTATTCCCTCCACATCATTGACCTTCACACTGGCCGTTTATGTGATACACGTACATTCAAGTGTGATAAAGTGGTCCTGTCACACAACCAAGGGCTGTACTTGTACAAAAACATCCTGGCCATCTTGTCAGTACAGCAGCAGACCATCCATGTCTTCCAGGTGACTCCTGAAGGCACTTTTATTGATGTGCGGACCATTGGCCGCTTCTGCTATGAGGATGACCTGCTCACTGTGTCAGCTATTTTCCCTGAGGTACAGCGGGACAGTCAGACAGGCATGGCCAATCCCTTTAGGGATCCTTTTATCAACTCCCTGAAACACCGGTTGCTGGTATACTTGTGGCGCCGGGCAGAACAGGATGGTAGTGCAATGGCCAAGAGGCGCTTCTTCCAGTATTTTGATCAACTGCGGCAGTTGCGCATGTGGAAAATGCAGCTCCTGGACGAAAATCATCTGTTCATCAAGTACACTAGTGAGGATGTGGTAACACTGCGGGTCACCGATCCATCACAGGTATGAGGTGAACTCTTCTTCCCTTTATCCCTCCAGTCTCCTTGGTGAAATGGGAAGGTTTCTTTGTTTGCCTATAGCCAACCTCTCAGAAACACACATTTTATGTAGCCTTGAATTTTTGCTATCCTAGGCCTCAAACTTAAAATCAACTCAATTTTTCTTTGTCCCTGTGTATTTATCTGGACAAATGGAAGCTAAATCTCAAGTCATTGACATGTAGATAGTCATATCCGTGATTATTATCCTAATTCTTTTGCAGAGCATTTTTAGTACCCTTGAGATGGAAGCACAAATGCTACAAGGTCAGGGTTTGGACTACCTGTGGATAATCCTGCCTTGATTTTGTAAGACTGTGCTTATTGGTCTGGCTGCTTTAGTTTTGACAATGAAAACAAGCATACCATACAAAAAAGAAAATCCTCTAAAAATCTAACTTTACTTTCCTGTGTAAATGATTAATGTAAATTTGCTTCTCCATAAAGTCCAATTTTAAGGTAACTAATAGGTGAGTTCATTTGACAGAGTTAAGTCTTGTGATTTCACCCTGAACTTGTCCACGTGCTGAAACATAGGTTGTAAAGCAGTGAAAAAGTCAAAAGGAAGCCAAGATTAATGATCCACCAAGAGAATCATCAGGACTGCAGATCCTAAGGGTTTTTCATTTTAGGTGAAAGATGCTGGTGGTGGGAGAGACATTTCTTAAAAGGAGTAGGCCGGTATAAAGAGCACAAAAACTGCTCAGACTCTTGGGTTGAAATGCCCTGCTGAAATTCAGGGTAATTTGGGCATTTGTCTTTGAGAGGCTCTTTACGTTGGCATTGACCAAGTAAAAGACCTACATTTTTTGTACCTTTGCCCGCGCTCCCCATTTTCCTGTTTCCATATTGTCTCCTTAGATAATAGTTTGGAAATTCAGAACAGCCTGCAAAACAGTAAACCATGAAGTCAGCTGAGTCTGGTATCTCTTACTGACCTGCAGCTGATTCTATCATTAAGAGGTATTGTAAGGGCATCGTCTCTTAAGACCTCACCAGCCACCTGTGGTAAAATATCTACTAGCATGTTTCTTTTGAATCATAGCCTGTGTATTCTTAAAAAAGGGGGAGTAATATGGTTAGAGATAATTTTTCTAGATTCTTTTTCTTCCCCATCCATGATGAAATCACCTATTGAGCCATCAAGGGTGTTCATCTGTACATCATGGGAGATTGGTGGTGAAGTCCTTGACTTTTCAACCCCCCTAACCTTTATTTCCCAGTCTGTCCTGGAGGGAAGGCTAGTAAATGTTTATGTAATTCTATATTCACATAATTATGAGAGATCCTCGTAAAGCCCTGATATGATCAAAAGTGTTATACAGAAAGGACACGAGTCAGTCTTTTATTTAGGTTTGAGTTATAATTACCTTTTTATTTTGGAGGGAACAAGTTATCTGTGATTGCTGCATTTGAGATTATCCTTTTTTCCTTTTCGAAAGGTTTTTTTCCTAGTAGCTATAATTAACTGTAGCTAGAAATATTACTAGGGCTCTATCCTTTGCTTACAGAGTTTGTAACTCTAAACTCAACCTTCCTACCCTGGGTGTCCTCCTCACTCCTCCCTCAATTTAATTTGATAGGTTCCAATAAGATTAATGACTAAAAAGTGCATCCAGACACAAAGCCTTGGTAATATTATGGGTATTATTCTCAAGTTACCTCCAGCCTCTTGAATTTACAGCCAAATTTAATTTCCAGGTGACCGCCAAAGCCATGTAATATAAGCTCTGGGAACAACTAATTACTGGTAAAAAAGGTGGGCCAAATGGTTCCAGAAATTGGTAATGGAGATTTAAACTCAATCATAGGAGGTGAAATACTAATCCTAGTGTTCTGAAAACTTCTAGAGTCCCTTTGGAAGCTCATAGATTAACTCACACTGCTGTGTTCACTGTGACAAGAACTGGAGGTTTCTAGAGCTTCCCTGTTAGGCAGAGCAGAACACTGGAGGTTTAAAGGAAGAGGGCTGGTCACCTCGGGGCCCATTCAGAAAAAGCAGTAACTCTGCCACCTATAGCATGTGAATACTTTTCAGGTTCCCCCTCTGATCTTAATTGCTACAAATCTCAAATGTGTTTTACAAATGCCTTTGGCTGAAAGAACACTTATGAAGAAAGAAATGGAAAATGCCTCTCTGATTTTTCATTTGTCCAGCAGCAGTACCCTCCTTGGATACAACTTGCCTGGGCAGTTTTAGAACACAGTGTACTTCAGGCATCTCTCTGCATGTTAGAAATATTAAGAGGGAAAAATAAATGCCTGTAAATTGAACTTTCAACTGTTCACATACAAGAGAAAATAATTTGCCAACAGGCAGCCCCAGGTTGCAAATCACTTTCTCAGCAGGAAAGAAAATTAAATCTGGCATTTAAAAAAAGTGTTTTTTATCTTGGGGTAGGTTGGGGAGCAAGAAGGAAATAAACACTTGGAAGGAAAAATATTGAATTTGCACAGTTTGAAATGAAAGATTGAAAACCTTTTTATACATATGTGCTGGGCAACTTGGTAATTCTAGAAGGACAGATAAAGTGGGAAATCTGGCAGCATTGAGGCTCTTGGTTGATAAAGCCCACTGATGCCTCCTCCTTTCCCAAAACCACTTGCAGCCATTCTGAAGTGGTTAAAGCTGAGGAGTTCACTTGTTTTACATGAGTGGCTTGAATTTTCAGCTAAGTGATAAATTTCCTAGACATGGCATTATACTCAGCTGTCCCTCTTCTTCTGTAGGCATCTTTCTTTGTAGTGTACAATATGGTGACAACAGAAGTGATTGCTGTGTTTGAGAATACGTCAGATGAACTTTTGGAGCTTTTTGAGAACTTCTGTGACTTGTTTCGTAATGCTACCCTGCACAGTGAAGTCCAGTTTCCCTGCTCAGCATCTAGCAACAATTTTGCAAGGCAGATCCAGCGCCGGTAAGCTGTTCCACAGGGCTTAACTGGCTAAATTTTTCTTTAGAAAAATTATTGGTGTTAGGCCAATAGCCATTTCCTCTAGGAAACCTTCTCTCATTCTCTCTGTCTACCCGGCCTTGGTTAGGTCTGCCTGTTGTAACCCCTTGTGTCATTCTGAACTTCTCCTTTCTCTCAGCTTCTGTGGAATTATTTGTACATTGTCTGTAATTCTTCCTAGACTGTATGTGAGTTGCAGAAAGTTGTGTCTTTATTTCCTATATCTTCAGTGGTGCACTGTCAAGCACTTAAATATTTATTGAATGAATGATTAAAGAAATCATTTTAGAACTTTTGGTTAAACGTGGTGTGTTGAACACATGTATTTATCTCTGCTCTGTCCCTAAACTCCACTAAAATAACAATAAAGGAATACGATAGAAACTTATTTATTTTTTTTAAATTTTACTTCTCAATGTACATTGTAGTTGATTTTCATGCCCCTTTACCCATTCCTCTCCACTCCCCGCCCCCCATCATATCTGTTCACTTGACTTAAATAGTTCAAAGAATTTTTGCAGTTATTCTGTCTTCTTCCTTCCCATACCCTTGATTTGTTTGTGTGTTTATTTATTTTTAGCTCCCATAAATAAGTGAGAACATGTGGTAATTCTCTTTTTGTGCCTGACTTGTTTTGCTTGATATAATTTTGTCTAAGTCCATCCATGTTGTTGCAAATGGTAGTATTTCATTTTTTTTTATATAGCAGAGTAGTATTCCATTGTGTAAATGTACCACAGTTTCCTTATCCAGTCATCAGATGATGGACATTTGGGCTGGCTCCAACTCTTGGCTATTGTAAATAGAGCTGCAAAGAGAATAGAGAGGAGACGGTTGGAGACAGAGTATATCAAAAAAGTTTTGGAAGCTGAAAAGCCAATGAATGAGTGATAACTGACTTAACATACTTCAGAAAGCAAAAACTTAAGGCTGCAGAGCTTAGTCATCAGGAAAGAAGCCTTCCTTACACTAGAGAACTCTGGAAAGGGTCAGGAAGTTGGAGGCCCAGGGTACCTCTGAAGTTACCTGTGAGGTAGACTGAAATGAGGATTGGCAAAGTTCTTAAAAGGAGCAGTCAGACCCTCTCGATCCCTTCCTTAGGCCTACACAGCCAAATGACTATTTCTTCTCCACTTCTGCAAAAGGCTGGAAGGAAGTTTATTCTCTGGACAAATTGAACCACACAGGCTCTGGTCTCAGGTTTATCAGATGTAGCTGAGAACAGGGATGAGACATGTTATGCTAAAAGGAAGAAATAAGTGAAAGGTGACATACCAAAGGGAAAGACTCCTATCCGCCTTCCCAGATATGGCATCCAGACTTATACTCCCTAGGCAGTAGATTAGAGATTTTTCCCCAGGGAAACTGACCAACCCAGAGAAGAGACTTCTAGGTGTTGAGTTGGAGTCCTTTCAAAAAACACCTAGGTTACCCTAAATTGATACCTACCAGTCAGCAAGGTCCTCCTGTGAACCAGAGCTTCTAATAACTATCTTACTATCTTATTATGAAATGAATGGTTCCTTTGGGCCAGTAACCCAAACTAAATCCTACTCTAGTCAGACAATGCCTCATCAGATTTCACATACCTAGATTGTTCCCCTAACCTTAGCCAGTTATGGAAAATATTTGCTGTAGGTCTCAAGACAGATCATATCATAGTAGTGAATGAATCAGAATAAGCATTACTGCCACTGGGAACAACAGGCAAAGCAGATACCTTAATTTAATGGCATTGTATTTATATAAAAGGACAGTTCTCTATTGGAAGTAGATGGGTATCGATTTTCAGACAACTGATTTGCGTTTTCTTTTTTCTCTGGTTTATACAAATCACCTTTATCAGCATCTCTATTCAGTACAGAAGGATTTTTGGAAGCAGAATATGGGTCAGATTTTGCTTTTTCATTTTGGAATGAGTGTTTTCTTTTACAATTAACTTTAAAATTAAGCAGATCACTAACAAACAACAAAAGGTGGGCATACACAGTCAAAACATCAAAGAAGTTACAAGAAGGTGACTTGAAAGCAGGGATTTTTGTCTGTTATATTCACTGCAATATGCAGAACACCTGCCTAGTGTATGTCACTTGTGAGGAGCTCATTAGGTATTTGTAGAATGAGTGAAGTCATCCAGGAATTAGAGGAAACTGTGTTTTCTGAAAATATTTCAGAATGTATCTGGAATTAAGCAAAATTGTAGGAAGCCCCATGAAGAGAAAATACAAGTTGAAGAGAAAGGTTGTACATTCCAGCTCAGTAATCTTCAAAGTGTTGCTTCATACCACCAACAAATTTTGAAAAACTGTAGATACCCTCACATATTTTTAATTTGGTCTCTAAGGTTTTTTTTACTATAAATACTAAATTTAAGTAGCTGTAAGGGATGCTATTTGCAGTTTACATTAAACATCAACATTTAAAAATAAAATTATTACAAAACTTTTAAATTTATCCAAAAGAATCTAAATGCCATAGTAATTTGGTATTCCAATATTTGATATAAAAATTACAGAGCAAGTTATTCCCATAATATTGGAAGTTTTGCACTGTTTCTTCTTATCCTCAAATTCATATATCTATTCCATCTCCTTCACTGAATGGTATCTTAATATACTTTGTTAACCACTGTATCATACTTTGCTGCATTGAAAATATTACATATGAGGATGCTTCAAAAAGTTCATGGAAACATTTGTATTATCTTTCAATTCTATTTTTCCATAATTTTTTGAAGTACTCTCATATATAGAAATCAAAACTATTTTTTCTTTTGTGTGACCACATGGCTCCAAATGCTAAATTTTATAGTAATCTTTTCCCAGTAATCTTTGGTAAAAATAAGTGAAAACTGGTCCCTCAAGGGTCAGAATAAATGTTAAAGAAAAAAATGGACACCAAGGATCATGAGTCATTTAAGGAAAGCCTGTATCTTAAAAGATAGAGACCAAAAGCAAACAAAAAGAATAAGGAATAAAGAATGAGGAAATAATATTACATTCACTGAAACAAAGGTATAAAAACAGGAACATTCCTAGAACAATGAGAAACTCTTGGAAATTTAAAATTTTTTATTTATGGTTAAGGAACTCTCCAAGAAAGTAGAGTAAAAAGATAAGAGAAAGAAAATGGAAGAGAAACAAGTTAAAAAAAAAAAAAAAAGGGAATTAGAGATCCAACATCTGGATGATTCCAGAAGGAGCAATAGAGAAAATGGAGTTTTCTCTATTGGGGAAGGAATAATATGAGGGTAGTTTTCCAATACTGAAGGACATAAAGGTGCAGATTGGCAGGACCATCCAGTGGTGTGCTGGAGCTGGCACATACTGGTTCATGAGAGCTGATTGTTAAACTTTCAGGAATTTTTGCTATTTCCTAATTATTTTACTATTATTTATGCTTTTGAGGTTATTTGTATATATTTTATCCATAAGGTAAAAATCTTTGTGTATGATGTTGTGCTACTGCTCATTACTTGACAATTCCCATGTTCAGTGATGTCACAATGAAATTGAAATTGGTCACAGCAGAAAGATTTACACCACAGAAATTGACAAGCACTACAAATCATGGCTTTTTTTCCCCCCAGAGAAAAATTAAACCTTTACCAGCATACCACTGGATCCATCAAGTACCCAGTACTGTCAATGAAAAGAACCCACACTGAGGCATATCATTACAAAATTTTGGAATATTGGAGATGAAGAAGAAATCGTAAAAGCTTTCAGAAAGAACATACATTTCGGGGCCGGCCCGGTGGCGCACTGGATAGTGCGCCGCTTGGGAAATGCGGCGGCGCTCCTGCCCGAGGGTTCGGATCCCACATACAGACCGGTTCCCGCTCACTGGCTGAGCGAGGCACGGGAGCAACACCGAGGGTTGCGATCCGTTGCCGGACACGGAAAAAAGACAAAAAGGCAAAAAAAAAAAAAAAAAAAGAAAGAACATACATTTCACATGTAAATAAGTCCTCAGAATGGCATCAGACATCAATAATAACACTAAAAGCTTGAAGCCATTAAAATTATTCCCTGAGAATTCTAGGAAAAAGGTGATTTCCAATCTAGAATTTTATATCCAAATAATAGGGTTGAACAAAGACATTTTAGATCTGTAAGGTCTCAAAAAATTACCTTCAATGTATCTTTTCTAAGGAAGGCTTTGAAAGATGTACTTCCCCAATAATTCACAAAAGAATGGTATGCGGGAAATAGAGAGTCTGATGCTGGACAGAGGCAAAGAGAATTCTGAGAATGATGGTAAGGGAAGTTGCAGGATGACAGTCCACCAGTCAGACCAGATGGAACAGCAGGGTGGAGGATTATAAGATGGGTGTATCCAAGGAAAAAATAAAATTGTTAGAATATCTGGTGGGTTTAAGTATATTAAGAAGAGATTGTCAGTTTGATTCTAGTAGGGTTGTTAGCATAGACTCACTGAGAAGGTGATACTTGAACAAATCTTTTGAAGGAGATCAGGGAGCAAGCCATGTGGTTATCAGGAGGAACTGTATACCAGGCAAAGGGAATAGCAAATCTAACGGTCCTGAGGTGGGTCTGATGCATTTGAGGGACACCAGGGTGGCCAGATTGAAGTGAGCAAGGGCAAAGTAGTTAGAGATAGGGTCAGAAACCAGATCTGGGGAGCCAGATACATAGGGACATTCTACAGCTCTGGCTTTAACTGTAGATGAGATAGGTTGTGTAGTGCTTGAGTGGAGGAATGACATAGTCTCACTTACGTTTTAACACGATCACTTTGGCTGCTATGTTTAGAATGCAGGGGGGTAGGGTGGAAGCGGGGACATCAGTTATGAGACTGTTGCAAAGATCTAGTAAATAAAATGATTGCATTTTGTTTCCTGCCACCAGTATTTAAGTTCTTTTTGTTCACTGATACATCCTAAGCACCTGGAAGAGTGCTTGGCACATACGAGGTCCGTAATTATTTGCTGGTTAACAGCCTTGGCTTGGATCAGGGTTGTAGCATTGGGGCTAGTAAGTAATTGTATTCTCAATGTATTTTGAAGGTAAAGTCCAATAGATCAGTGGAGGATGGGATATGGGCTATGAAAAGGCAAAGTCAAAAATAATTCTAATGTTTTTGGCTTAATCAACTTGGAGAGAGTTGCCATCAAACTGTGATGGTGAAGCCTATGGGTAGAGCAGGTTTGGGAAGAAGATGAGAAGTAAGTGGAGGGGTCTAGTCATTTCTTAGAGAGAAAGGAGTGTTACTGTGTCAGAACCGTTTGGCAGATCAAGTACAACGGGGACTGATAATTAACTACTGGAGTTAGCAACATAGAGATCTTGGTGACCTTGACAAGAGTAGTTTCAGAGAGATGAGGGTGAAAGCCTGGTTGGGATGGGCTTAAGAAAGAATGTGAGGTAAAAAGTTGGACAGTATGAAAAAATGTTTTGAGGAGTTCTGTTGTAAAGGGGAGCTGAAAAGTGATGCATTAGCTGGAGGGTTAAGTCATGTTAAGTTTTTATTTTTGTTGTTTTTTAAATGGGAGGGAAAAAGGGCATGTTTGTATGCAGATGGGACTGATCCTATAGCGAAGGGGGAAACTGATGGTTTAGGAAATTGCTTAAATATTGAGAGGGGATAGGATCTAGTGCACAAGCGAAGAGACTGGCCTTAGATGGGAGCATGTACAGTTATATAGATATGATGGGAGCTAAAATGTTCCCTTCTGCTTGCTTCTTTTTGTCAGTAACAAAGTAAGCAATGCCAGTAACTGAGTGAGCATGAAGGAGGGGGATGAAATAGTCATGAAAGAGAGTAGGAGACTGGCTGGGCTATGGAAATATAGCACGAGTGCCTTGCAACATTAAGGCCCATGTGAAGTTCATGGTCATAAGTTTAAAGTGAGCATTAGTGTATGTTTTTCTCCAGCAATGGAGAAAACTTAGTGGATAGAGGTATAGAATAGGTAGAGTTGAGTTTAACTAGAGTTGTATGTAGTTTTTCCAAGCAAGTACCACAAAGCAAGATAGTTCAGGGTTGTTGAGAATGAGTGCAGTGGAGCGATTTTAATGATTGACTGTGGAATGTAAGCTGGTTAAGGAAGGAAGGGAGGACGTGGTAAGGGTGTAGGATGGCAAAAAGTTGGTGTATTCAGTGGACTGTAGGTCCCATGGGGGTTGAAGGATTTTTGAAGATTACAGAGGGGTTGCAGTCGTTGGAAATGGTGAGGTTGAGGGTGTGACCAGGGGAATGAATGCCTGAGGTAGAAAGGAGGTCAAATAATTAGGAGCACGTGGTGTTAGAAGGATCATCTCTGAGAATTTTGAAATCACCAAGAATGAACAGAGGTGTAGTTAGACAGAATGACATTGAGCCTGGAGCTAAAGTGGTGAAGACATTAGAGAGAGTGACTACTTCATCTTTTAGTTAGTGGGGAGCATGGAGAGTTGACGTTGTGGGTGCTGCTGAGAAAGAGCAACTGCTTCAACCTATAGATTGTCATAGATGCTTTGTTTGTGAGCATCACAAAGCTGTGAGCCAGCACCCGTTATTTTACCTTTTGAAGCCAGTGAGCTAGGCAGGGTTAGGGTGTGCATTATGAGATTGTACTAGATCTTTGCTGAAAATGGAGCCCAGGATCTTCGATTCCAGCTCAGATGAAAGGGAAGAAGTAAGTTCTGTTTGGCCCAAGGTTTAATTTTATGATTTATACTTAGGCTATGAAAATTACTGTCAAGAGGGGTAATGGAAAAGCAGTGTTGATAGCTAGGCTTCCTTCTGGGGGAAGTGAAAGTGTTCATGTCCATCTAGCACCACAGGTTAGTAGTGAAAGCAAAACTCAAATCCCATCTGTCTTTGTCCATTCTGTGCTGCTGTAACAGAATACCACAGACATGGTAATTTATAATGAACAGAATTTACTGGCTCACAATTGTGGAGGCTGGGAAGTCCAATATCAGGGTGCCAGCATCTGGTGAGGGCTTTCTTGCTGGGTCATCCCATGGCAGAAGGCAGAAAGACCAAGGGAGGGCAACAGGGGGCCTAACTTGCCCTTTTGTAAGGGTACTGATCCCACCTATGCGGGTGGAGCCTTCATGGCCTTGTCACCTCTTAAACATCCTACCTCTTAATACTGTTACAAAGGCAATTAAATTTATTTTTTCTTTTCTTGGCAGCTGGCTGGTTAGGGGATCTCAACCCTTGATCTTGGTGTTATCAGTGGCAATTAAATTTTGTCATGAGTTTTGGAGGGAACACATACTAAAATCACAGTTTCACCTAATCAGTCTTTCTGGTTTCATTAAAGTTAGGAACATTTAAGCTTTTATTCCATTAATTTCAGAGATGAGATGTTATATCATAGTTTTGCCCCAAATTAAAAAAAGTTTTTATTTATTTCCCTTTGCTTGTCAAACCATGTGATATGCTTTGATATAGAAATTTAAAAAAGTACGTACTGATAGACAATTGACGTTTTTTCTAAGAAACTATAGGAAAGCGAAAAAAGAAAAAAAAAATCCAAAATGTCATTACACAGACACAGCTATTAACATTTTGATGTATTTCTGCCAGTCTTTTTCTTTTAGGCATAAGTTTTTGTTTTCTTTGTGTTTTTAACCTTATTATATAGATAGTACTGTAGTCTACTTCATTTACTCACCATTATGATATACATTTCCCCTGTTACCATATAACCTTTATAACCTTTGAATAGATTACCATTAGGGTTTTAATTTTTCCTTTAGTTTTTCATTGTCATAAACAATGCTGTATTTAATGTGCACAGAGATTTTTCTGCATGTAGGAGTGCTTCCTTAGTGTAAATTTCCAGAAGAATGGAAATACTTGGTCAAAGAGTATTAAATTTAGTATTCATTACAGAAATGAGAAATAATTGCGCCATTATTATTATTTTCAAAGATAAGTCAGATATGTGGCTCTGTGTTACTGTTTTTCTAGATAGCAGTGTTTCTGCAGGAGTATAGGTAGCTATTTCCCAAACTTTATTTAAACAAAGAATGAGTAATTTGTCAAAAGGTTTGGCAGATGTTGGCTTATAACTGATCCCAGGAAGAGTTAGAGAGAGGCTGCTTTTGTGCAGGATTCTCTTTGTAACTCCTTCCTAATTTAATCTAAGGCTATTATATGGGGCAAATAAGTTCTGATTTTTTCCCCCTAGTTGAGCTGTTATCAAAAAAGTAGAAATAGTTGTCATAGACTAATTATATTCATTTTAAACTTGTTTGTAGAGTCTTGTTTCACTTTTCTAAAGTAATTTAATGTTCCCGCTTTCTAATTCTGTTTTCTGCTTTTTAAGGGTATTTGTAGCTAACCAGACTTATGATGTGCAACAGAGGTTCTCTTTTCATTTAGTATCTAGGGTTTACTTTTTATTTACAGAATGAGTTGTTTTTAGACATACATTTATCTATTTAAAATCCAAGGGAGCTCTGTGTGCCCACCAACAAAGCCTTCCTCACTGGTGCTTTATTTTAGGTTCAAAGACACTATTATAAATGCCAAGTATGGAGGACACACAGAAGCAGTACGCCGGCTGCTGGGTCAGCTCCCCATCAGTGCCCAGTCTTACAGTGGTAGCCCCTACCTGGATTTGTCTCTCTTCAGCTATGATGACAAGTGGGTGTCAGTCATGGAGCGGCCCAAGACTTGTGGTGACCATCCTATCAGGTACAGTGCCACTGCTACAGCTACGAACTACTCAAGGGTTGAAAACGTCCTGCTGTCTGTTTCTCTTCTCGTTTTCTTTCTTCTTCACATTATTAATTTGTGACTGTCTCCACTTGAACTAATGGGTTGGACTGAAAGGGCAGGCTGTTTCTGTAATGTGGTGAGTGCTTCATTTAGATAATAGTCTCATAAATTAACTGCTCCTACTCTTTGCTTCTCATCAGAACATTGAATTCAGATAAGTGTTGTCTCCTTTTAAAGTTATCTAGGGAAGGAAACCATACTTTTCCATTTAATAATCTAATACCTTTCCATAATGGTTTTTATAGTTGAGAGCTTATTATTACAGTTATTCTTATCCCCCATGTTATCTAGTAGAAAAGATAGCAGAGACAATTTGGGAAACAGGCAGGTTTAGGAGAAACTCATGCTTCCTCACTTGGAGGAATTTTGGAATGTAGACTACTGTGTAATTGCTGGAACCTTGACTCTAACCTCTTACAAGCAATCCCTCCCTCACAGAAGTTCAGTTAACAGACCCACCTGTCTCTTCACATCTAGAGCCTGTGCTGTTCTGTGTGCTGTTATAGGTATTAAGGAGAAGAACTGGCACCTCTGTCACTACTGGGGTTACCTCAAAGGGAATGTGTTCCTAGAGCCCTGAGGTCTTTTTCACATAGAAACAGTGGTAGTTAGATCTTTATAGTAGATGTCTTTCATCATCCAGCTTCATCGTATATTAAATGGGCCTGTGTAACATATTCTGTACGATTAATAACCATTCATAATAATTCCTTTGGGAAATTGCAGTCAAGTTCCAAAAACCAATTAAACAAATTTTCTTATCATGGAAAGTTTTAAATATACAAAAAGTAGAAGAGTATAAGGAACCTCCGTGTACTCATCACCCACCTCAACAATTATCATCTACGGGCCAGTCTTGTTTCATCTATATCCTCTTCCACCTCTACTTCCTCCCCTCCCCACTGCTCCCTGGGATATTTTGAAGTAAATCCCAGTTATCCTAGCATTTTACCCATAAATATTTCAGTATGAATTTCTTTTTTTTTTTAATTGGTTATGAATATTCATGGGGTACAAGCTGATTTTCACCACTATACCCAAGAAGTACGAATTTCTAAAAGATGAGTACTTCAAAAAAATACCTCAATACAATTATCTCATCTTAGGAAAATTAACGAAAATTTATTAATACCACCTAATTTCACATTTCTCTATTGTCTTGGAAATATTCTTTTTACAGTTTGAACCAGGATCTAAACAAGGTTCATGCATCACATTTGGTCACTGTTCCCTTCAGTCTTTTCTATTCTATTGGTTCTACTTCCCTGTTTTATTGTCCTTGCCGTGAAATTGTTGAAGAAGCCAGGTGTTGGTCTTTGGCATTCCCCACATTCTAGATTTTGCTCATTGCATCCCTGGGGTAGTATTTACTGTATTTCTCATTCCCCCATTTTCTGTAAACTGGTAGTTAGATTTAGAAGTTTGTACAATGCAGTTTAAATTAGAAGTGCTGGGGCTGGCCCATGGCTCACTCGGGAGAGTGCGGTGCTGATAACACCAAGGCCCCGGGTTTGGATCCCACATAGGGATGGCCGGTTCGCTCACTGGTTGAGCGTGGTGCTGACAACACCAAGTCAAGGGTTGAGATCCCCTTACCGGTCATCTTTTAAAAAAAAAAAAAAAAAAGATAAATTAGAAGTGCTTTGTGTGTTGGGGACTATGTGGGTAAGGGTAATGTGCCTTTTACACATAAAAGCATATAATGGGCCTCATTTGATACAGTCAAGTAGCACGAGATACGTTTCTCTCCTTTCTGACTTCCCTGCCGTTCTAATTTGAAAAGATGAACCTAAAACAAATGTGGAAATGCCATTGTCCCTGACTTAAGCAGTTTTTCTTATAATTCTTACTTATATTTTTAATTTAAAATGAAAAATGTAAGGATATTAAAGGCATTTGAAGAGGTAATGCCATTACTCTAATACCTTTATTGAATATTCCAATCTAGTCTTTGTCAATATGCATGTTTACATTTATGCAGTTGTAATCATGGTAAGCATCATATTTTGTAGTCTGCTTTTATTTTACAAACATTTTCCATCTTGTTTCATAGTCCTCACAATCACAGCCCTAATAATGGCATATTATTCCATCAAGTAGATGTACCATAATTTATTTATTTATTTATTTATTTATTTTTATTTTTATTTTTTTTTCCTTTTTTTGTCTTTTTTCGTGTCCGGCAATGGACCGCAACCCTCAGTGTCGCGCCCGTACCGGACCGGGACCGGCAACGGGATCGCAACCCTCGGTGCTGCGTCCGCCCCTCGCTCAGCCAGTGAGTGGGAACCGGTCTGTATGTGGGATCCGAACCCTCGGCGGGAGCGCCGCCGCGCTCGCAAGCGGCGCACTGTAGCAGTGCGCCACCGGGCCGGCCCCCATATTTATTTAATCATTCTCTTATTACTGAGCTTTTATTCTCTTTCTGTGATTCTACATTAGAGTGGTAGCCATCTTTATTCATGTCACAATTTACTTCATTTAAATTAAATTCTGTGGATATAAATTCTTAGAAGCGGGATTATTGAGTCCAAAGGTGTGAATATCTGTATGTCGGCTTACATATTTGCTTTCCAAGAGGGCTTATCAATTATAGAGTTCTTTAATTCAGGCCTCTTAATTTTCTAGAACTTCCTGATTCAGCGCCCACCCTGCTAATCATCTCTAGTTCCCAAAACCAGAGGCCATTTATTTTGCATATGGGAAAAGATATTTAAGTACTGGGATGGATGGAAGCATCTTTAGTCTATTGTATAAGATGAAAAATTCAAAACTACTTAGTATTTTGTTTCTGTATATGAAAAAGAAGAACTTTTTAAAAGAATTTATTTTTAAAAATGAAGGACTCAAAGATGGGCCTAGATCTACACTGTGCTATATAGCAGCCACTAGCCACATGTGACTATTGAGCACTTAAAATGTGGCTAATTGATAAGTTGAGATGTGCTCAAGTGTCAAGTACACACCAGATTTCAAAGTTGTAGTACAAAAAAATGTGAAATATTTCACTAATATTTTTTATATTGATTATAGGTTGCAATGATAATATTTTGAATATATTGGATTAGATATATTATTAAAATTAATTTCACTTTATTAAAAAAATTTATTTTTTTCCCTATATAGGGATCAGAACCCATGGCCTTGGTGTTGTCAGCACCACACTCTCCCAAGTGAGCCACAGGCTGGCCCATTTCTTTTAAAAAATTTTTTAAAAAATGTGGCTATCTGAAAAATTTAAATTATACATGTGGCTTCCATTTGTGGCTTGCATGTTAGTCTGGCACTGAACTAGACAGAGGAAGGGGCTTCTGGAAGCAGGGAGGTTGTAACTAAGGGTCATCTTGAGAAAGAGAAATGACCAATGACTCAGGACAGCATAGTAGAATTCATAATCACTCTGCCCCCAAAATGTTCTGATTGGACCAAGATGATTTTAAAGTTCTGACAAGCTGAGTCTTATGTAACAGATTTCACCAATAAGATAAAATATATAGTTGCTACATTCCCCTGCTGTCTAGATTTCAGTTTGTTGGTGAATATCAATACTGTCCTCTCTCTCTCTCCTTGTTCTGTTTAGGTTCTATGCCCGGGACTCTGGCCTGCTCAAGTTTGAGATCCAGGCAGGCTTACTGGGCCGCCCCATCAACCACACAGTACGACGCCTTGTTGCCTTCACCTTTCACCCTTTTGAGCCTTTTGCTATTTCCGTGCAGAGGACTAATGCTGAGTATGTTGTCAACTTCCATATGCGACACTGCTGCACATAGGTGCCGCACCAAAGCTAGATTATCCAGTCTTCCAAGACTTTGCCCCCTTCTTTTCTCAGTGGACTCTAAAGCAGAAGCTCCTGACTACCAGCTTTGTTGGTTCCAGGCTGATATACCTCACAAGGGAGAGAGCCAGAGAAAGGATCAAGGGTGGCTCAACCTAATGGAATTGTTTATTGTATACAGTACTAATACTGTAGGACTGATGGATTTAAAGTCCTCTTGCCTTTTCCATGTGGGAAATGCCCAGCATTAAGTCCACTTAATTTTTGTTTTCCTTTGCATTTTATTGCTGTGAAGATGAAAGCATTACACCTTTACCCCTTTATGTCACTGCTTTGGCATTATGGTATGCAGCCCAAACCAGGTTAATCTTATTTACTCCTGAGAACTATGTACTTCCTTTCAACTTAGCCAACAAGCAAGGCTATCTTTATAAGAAAAAAAAAAATAAAGCCTTGATATTTTCTTACTTAAATATATCTTGTTTGATGACTGCCTTGTATTCCTATTGAACCAAATGCTTTTCAAGTACTTGGGTTCCAGGAAGGACTGAGACAGAGACCAGAGGCCGTGGATGCGGCAGCTGCTCCTGGGAGAACTAAGTGGTGAGTGCCAAGCATGGGAGGCAGTAATCTGCCGGGATGATTTCCTTCCCTAGGGTTTTCTCCTGGTAATTGTTGCAGCTGGAGGAACTGGGTGTAATTGCACATTCTCATGTGGAAACATGCTCCTGTCTGTACCATCTGTGTCATGCAGGTGGAAGAGTGAGCAGCTCTCGTTTGCTGTAGCAGAAACAAACACTGTGTAGCACGTACTGTCATTTGGGTAGTGGGAGCTGGCAAGCTCCAGGTGACCCTAAAGAGATGAGACTGGCTGTTCCTGGATGGCCGAGCTGTCACAACCATCCTGCAAACACCTGCCAGCCTTAGACCACATCCTTCTGTCACATTCTCAACTAGTTCCTTCCAGAGGGCTTGTCAGACTGTTTATGTTTCATCTGCATAACATAACCACCCTTAATGCAGTAAGCTTGTTTAGTAACATTGGTCTTCGGAGGTAGCTTTGAAATGTTAGGTTCCAGAGCAGGCTGTGAAAGGAGCCATGGGTGCAAACAGCTGGATCCTATGTTCCCTCTACCATCCAGACTGACTTCCTTTGGGAACATAAGAAATGTAATATGAGATGCTGAGACTCACCAAAAATAGTTCAGCTGATTTCATCATCTTTTCAATTTTGAACAGCTAAATTCTTTCCCATTCAGCATTCAGCACAGGATTTGAGCACCTACTGTGAGTCAGACACAGTGCCAAGATGCTCAAGATGAGGAAAGTAATAGACAAAGAGATCGTTGTAATATAACATGGTAAAAGCTCTAATAGTGTTTCTCTGGGGACAGTGGAGGGAGATGGAGAGGCAGGAAAGGAAAAGTATATGGGGAAGGAACACTGGAATTGGATAAATGGGAGTGTGTTGTGTGACCCAGGGTAGAGGACATTTCAATGAGAGGCACAGCGTGTACCAAGGCACAGAAGCCTGAAAAGGGCCATGGAGGTTCCAAAATGGCAGATGGTCTGATATGACTACAGCATAGGCTGGGGCAGGAGAGGCAGGGGAGATGTGACTGAACAGATAGGCTGAGGGGATATCATGAGGAGAGGTCTTATGCATGCTGCTAGGGTTTTATGGAGTGGATGGCATACTAGGAATTTCACAAAGGTAACTTTCACAGTCTGGAAGATGGCATGGAGGGATAGAGGCTAGAGGGAGAGAGGCCAGATGAGTAAATGGTGGTCATCCAGAGGAGAACGGGAAGGCTTGAGTGATGTCACTGAGCCTCTGGAGGGATGAAATACTTTGCAGATCATGAGGAATATAGGGTCCCAAAGCTTGGTGATTCTAGTCATGTATTAACAATAATTGTTCTGTAACATACTGCTCATTACCCCAGGAGAAGTTTTGTCATGTGTTGTGGAGCTGAACTAACCTTTCTTTGTAGAAGCACTTTGCCTGCAGCTTTTACTCTGAACTAGGTTGCTTGATTGTACCTGAGGGCTTGGCAGAGTGAAGGTGTGCTGAGTGTGAAGTCATCAGGCCTCAGTTTAAATCCAGCCCTTCCCTTCATTTGCTGTGTGATCATGGGCTTATCTTCTCTTCTTTCTGAGACTTAATATGTATTTCCCTCCCCCTTAGTCACACCTTTCCTTTGTCATATGTTAGATCTTTTCATCACCTCTAACTGCTCACCTCCGAAGTCTCAATTTTGTATGCCCCACACAGACCATTCCCTTGCAGCCTTGTACTTTCTCACTTCTCTATCCCCACTACAGAACATCTCAGACCTTGCTGGAGCCTCCAACCCCTCACCCAGCCCGGATTAACTAGGATAAGGTTAAACTGCCATAACCAAAAGACCCCACAGTGCGATGGCTCAAACAAGAGAGGGTTTTGTTTTTTCTGCCCCCCCGTCCCCCTCCTCCCTTTCAGGTCACAGCACAGGGCAGTTGTTCAAAGTCAGTGAGTGGTTCGCCATACACAGACATTCAGGATGCAAGTGTCTTCGTCTTGCTGCTCTGCTGTTCCCTGGCATCATCCTGGATTGAGCTGGGGAGAGGGTGAAAGAGCGTGGAGCAGGCTTTGCCTGTGGAATGCCCCTGTCCCTTAGGGGCACACGTCACTTGCATTCACAGTGTATTGGAGAGGTCTGAACCATATGGCCACACATAACAAGCAGAAGAGCCTGGGAGACGTAGGGTGCCTGGCAGCCATGTGCCAGGTACTCTTATGTTCAGAAGAAGGGAGAATGGATTTGGGGGGACAGCTAACTGTTGCTGGGACAATAGTGTCTTTACTAGCTGTCACCTCCCTTCACATCCTCTCTTCTTTCCTTATTTAGCCTGACTTGCATGGTCTAACACTATAATCACTCCCTTGCAATTACGCTTAACTTCCTTGCTGCTCTGCTTCCTTATTGCTAATTTAGAAAAATAAAAACATCAATTCTCTACGTGTCTATCTGAACAGCTGAAAATTGCTGAAGAAAAACCATGTCTGTTCTTAAATTGATGACCACAAACCTAAGATGGGCACTCAACACTGTTTGCTGAGCAATCCTTATACACTCTCCTTGTCTGATTACTCCCACTCCCTGAAATACACCTTCACCTCTCTCTTCAAAACCCCTCCTCCTATTTCTCAGCTGGTCACTTAGCCACCTGCTTCACGGCAGAAATGGAAACAATCAGGTGGGAGTTCCCTTAACTTTCCTTTACCATGTCAACCACGTGATTTGCGTCTGTACTCGTTCCCTGCCTCCTTTACAGTGAATGAAATATACCTGCTTCTCTAAAAGGCCAACCCCTCCACCTTTCTACTGGATCCTGTCTCCTTTTGACTTCTCAAAAGACCTTGGTCTTGGTTTCTACAATTATTTTCTCTCTTCTGCATCATTTTTCTCTTGATAGGTCATTCCTGTTAACATACAAATATGCTCTAAAATCTTCCATCTTTATAAAATCCTGCTTTGACCTCTTATTCCCGTTTAGTTACTGTTTATTTCTCTGCTACCCTTCACAGCAAATCTTCTCAAAAAAGTTGCCTAAATTATGTGTTTTCCCTTCCATACATTTCATTTTTCCTCAAACTACTCCAGAAAGGTTTCTGTCCCCACCATTCCACTGAAACTGCAGCTGTCTAGGTCACCAGTGATTTCATGTTACCAATACAAGTGGTCACCTCTTGTCCCTCTCTTACTCAGCCTCCTAACGTTGGACATAGCTGATTTTTCTCCATATCAAGAAACCTTTGGTTCTCTTGGTTTCTAGGTCAGTACATGTTTCTAGTTTTCTTCCTATCTTACTGATTGTTGCTTTTGTTCCCTTTTGTTGTCTGCTTCTCCTCTGCTCTCCCTTTAAATGTTGGGATGCCCCAGCACTCGGTCTTGGATCATCACCTCTTTTTCTCTATATAGTCTTCCTATAGTTGATTTTATCCATTCCATTGGTTTTAAATTCTAGCTGTATGCTGATGACTCTCAGAATTAAAACTCTAGCCCTGACTCCTTCCTTGAGCTCCAGATCCATATAGACCATGACTTACATGACCTCTTCATTTGTATATCTAATAGGTATTTCAAAACTAGCATGTCCAAAGAAACACCATTCCTACCACCACCTGCAACCTGTTTTTTCTCCAAGATTTCACATATGGCTTCAATATCTACCCATTTACTTGAGCCAAAAACTTAGGAATTATTCCCAATTTCTCTTTTTTCCATCCCCTTCCATTCTGCCCACACCTCATATATCTGACTTGACTCTAGGGATGTGCCCTGAGCAGTCTAAACCAATCATGGCTGTCCCATACTCCTCGCTAATGGCTAGAAGAGACTCCTAGGCCAAAACCAGTCAGCATAAGGGGTTAGTTTAGGAATGTCATGTGTCTTAACTCAGGTCCATGATACAATGAAGTAAGGATTTCTGGGGAATTCCTCATTTGAGAATGTCAGTGAGGAATAATGTAGCCCACATTCTCACCATCCAACACCCTATGACCATACTTAAAAAGAGTCAGCCTTAGGATGATGCTGACCTTGTGGATGGCAGAACGAAGAGGAAGAGATGACATGGCTGGTTGACTAGAGCAAACAACCCTGAGACCCACCTCCATCTGGATTTCCAGTTCCAAAAGACAGTACATTTTCTCATTGTTTAAGACACTTTGAATTGGGTTTTTTTTTTTGTTTCTTGCAATTGAAAGCAAATTAATAGATTGAAAGAGAAAAACAGGTCCCCCATGGATTCGTAAAAGTCCTGCTGGCTGGGATTCAGCTCCAGTTTCCATAGGGCCCACTTGTGCTAGGATTTCTATTCTTGGATTTCTGTAAGATTTCCTAGCTCTCCTATACCCACCTGCAGCCATACCTGAGCTGGCCTGGGTATTCTTGTAATTAAAAGGATCTAACTAAAATGGGAGATAAAGCTCTCAGCCCATTGAGTACTTGGCCCATGTTAAGTTCTCAATCCCTATTTGTTGGTTTATGTTAGTTTTGTTCCTAAAGTGTTTAAGGCAGCTCTCAGTAAGTTCTAGTGTCTTCTCTGCACAGTGTCTAATGAATCTCAAGAATCTTTGGAAAGAAATGTTTAAGAAAAGCAGGGGATATGTCTTTCAGATCTAAATTCTTCCTTGAATGTTTCTCCTTTCATCCCTACTTGGCAGGGAGCTGGTATGTCAGCGATCAGTGGGAAGCTGCTTGGACTTTTGAGAGAAATGTTCTATTTAAATACAGCAAATACATTCTGAGCCTTTGCAGAGATGCACAGTATAAATGAGTGAAAAGCCTAAATTAAATAATTTTTAAAAGGATGATAGCTTCATTATTTTCAAGTACACAGAGTAACTTAAACTCAGCCATGAAGTGTTCCACTGTAGAAGCCCTTAGGGACTTTCCTTAATGAGTAGATTATAATTATTGGTAAT